TTCTTGTCTGTCTGTACAGGCCTCCAGACCTCTATGGTTAGTGCTGGGATTAAAATCATGTGCCACCACGCCTGGCTCTGTTCCCAGTGTGGCCTTGATCTCACAGAAGGATGGATCTCTGCCTCTGGAATGCTAGGATTAAAGGCCTGTGCTACCACTACCTGACTTCTATGTTTAATATAGTGGCTGGCCTTTTCCTCTGATCCTCAGATAAGCTTTATTAGGGTACACAATATATCACCACAGCCTACAGTTGACAAATTTTCTCCACAGAACTCATCCCCGATGGAAGCCACATGACGGACTCTCTGATATTTTCTTGCCTTTTATTGAATAAATCAGTCAAACTACTACAAGCTTTAAAATGCTTTATTTTTCTTTATACTTCAAAGGTAAAAAAGACAGTAAGAAATTTTCTACACAAATTAACAGAGACAACAGAGGAAAGTGCTCCTTGTTGGACCAGAAATAACTATTTTATTTTTCAACTTCTGTCCACCCTGACATATGTAATGTACAACTGAGTTTCTGTGCACCTGGATTTCCCCATTCAGTAGAGAGGATGGAAATCCTGGTTTCCTCAAAAGCTGTCATTTCAATTACAAGAGAAGCATTTCTGATTTCTATTAGATGTCAGCTTCACCCACATGTGTAGAGACACACCACACAATGCACAAAGAGAGACGAGTGACCTCGAACTCATCTCCCAAGGAAACCCAGTGGTGCTTTCTCCTCAAGAACAAGACGATGATGCCATCATTTCTACAGTCAGCCCACACCCACATTTATTTCCATCATTTTGCATTTGGGATAGGAAGGGCTCCTGGGCACTAGAATGCGAAGTACACAGAAGGACCACTCTTGGACACGCGTGAGTTTTAGAAGTGTCCTTGAAGTTTTATAACAAGTAAACGTTGTTTTTGGAATAAGGTCGTGGTTGGGGAAGGTTGGACTTTATATTTCAAGTCTCATATGATATTTAAAGTGCAGGAATGAAACAGTCAATTACAGCGAACACCTTAATCACCAATGGGCACAGGGAGAACAAGGGACCCTAAACTCATCCTGGTCCATGTTTGGAACTTGCTCAATAAGCAGAATCCCCAGTGCTAAGCATCATTTATTCTAATTCTGTCTAAGCAGGGATTTAAGAAAGAGAAGCAGGTGACTTAGTCTATGTGTCAAAAGCCGGTCCCCTGCCAGATCATAGCTTGTCTCTTTGGGAAGGTGAAAAACAGTCTGGAGATGTGGAGAGCTCTGTACAAAGAAACTCAGTTAGTTGTTCATTTTCTCATCTCACATCCTTCCTCTGAAAATAATTTAAACCTAATTAAGCTTGAAATAACTTCTGAGGAAAACAATGTAGTAATTGTGGAGAGAGGGGGAAGCTGTACTTCAGGGACTGGGGCCCTGCAGAGGCCTTCCTTCCCCCCCACCCCCGACACTGTGACAACATGAAACTTGAAGTCCGCACTACCTGATGGCAGCCAAGAGCCCCACAAATCCTGACAGTACAAATAGGACCTGGCAAATGTCACCTTCCAGAGCTGCTCCAGAGACTGCACCACAGAGGTCCAGGTGAGTTCATGGAGGTAAGATCTTCGATCCCCTCAGCTGTGCCAGGGAGGGTTTCACTAAAGCAGAAGTTTTACAGAACTTTGACTAAGCCAGGGAGCAGTTGATAGGCTGTGATTCTCAGGACCTCTGCTCTCCTTCTGGCCCTGAAGAGGCTGGTCCCTGACTCCAGAAAGATCAAAGGAGTCAAGTTCCTGGAGACACAGAAATGGAACAGAAATGCTGAGGCATCTCTATCCATCCTCAGGCTGGAGGATCATGACAGAGCTCTGCCTGGGTGTTTGCCTATGGTTACCTCCTTGCCTTTTTTTTTAAATGAAGCTATAAGATGTATAAAAATTTCAAGAGTGTATCAAAATATTGAGACAGGGACTGGAAAGATGACTCTGTGGTTAAAAGCACTTGCTGCTCTCCCACAAAACCTGGGTTTGTACCAGCACTCACACCATATCTCACAATCATCTGAATCTATAGTTCTGGGAGATCTGATGTCTTCTTCTGGCCTCGACAGGCACCAGGCATGCATGTTGCGTATACATATATGCAGACAAAACACCCATACATATAAATTGATAAAAAATGAACTAAAATAAAACAAAATAAATACTGAGACAGGCAGAGTAGAAGACTCCTACTATATCAGTACTAGGGTAATGAATTAGAAAGATTACATGCTGAGGACCAGCCTGTTACATAAGAAGACCTTGTCTCAAAAAAAAAGAGAGAGAAAGCCAAACAAAATGTTGTTTTCAGTCTCCAGGTTTACTATCACAATGATTCTAACATGTTATTACCATTGTGCTTATAAAATTTGTACTTTTCAATTTTGGTGCATTTCCATATTTCAAATATTGGCAAATGTTTTCTTTTACAAAGTGTTGGTAGGTCCTAAACACACTGAAGATAAACTGGAAGGGTTTGGTTAAAGTTTCTTGATTCTGTCACATGATATCGCACACACTTGTAAGTCAATTTTAATCATTGTGTGCTGGAAGATGGGGAGAAGTATAAACCACTAGAGCAGCAGCTGCCATTACCATCTTGAGAATCCCTGCCGTAAAGGATCCAGGCTGTGAAGGATACATCCTGAAACAGCTCATTGTAATTTTATCCCAGTGCTAAGGAAAAGGAGCAATAATCTTGTATTTATTGGCATGGAAGAAATTACCAATGCACCTCAAGGTTCTGGAGTTATAAAGGATGTGGTATTCTTTGTCTCTGTAGATAGAAATCATGTCTCCTAAAACATTTCACAAGATAATTTAAGAGATAAGCTGGCTCTATTTCCCTGTGATTCTTCATATGAAAAGATAAATCACTTTTGAGATGTCCCAGAAGCTGGCTTCAAACAAGACAAAGAGCTTTAAAGTTTGGAGAAAAAGAAAAGAGAGTTAGAAAGTAGAAACCCTAGTCCCTTGGAGAAAGGAAAAGAGTTAGAAAGTAGAATCCTTAGTCTGTGAACAAGTGGAAAACATTCAATATTTTCCATTGGGACTAGAAGTGAAAGGATTGCAGGGATTTCTACAGATTCCAATCTCTAGGTAAATAGTTAATGAATAATCCAAATGTAGTAATGAATGTAGTGATGCTGATATGCCTGCAAATAATGTCTGGAGCATGTTTCATTATTTACAGACATATATGAAGGCATTGTGAATTTTAGAGTGCAATAGAACAGGAGTTAATTACCCCTTTGTTAGAGGAGCAGTTCAAAGGCCATAAATGACATTACTAGAGTCATTAGACTACATGAACCCAGAAGGCTATGTTCATGCAGGTCACAGGTGATATCATCAAGACGCAGACATTTAAAGCAATCCTGTAAGTTTAACAGGAGGGAGCAAAGGGAACCGAGGCATTCCAAGTACTCAGAACACACAAACCCATGGAGCCACTGATATATCGAGTTTCCTCTCATTCTAGAAGGTGCCCAAAGCTTACCATAAGTCTCTAAGAAATGAGAACGGAGTTCCTGAACATGAAGAATAACATCCTGCTGAGATCTAAGGTTCTGGAATCAGCTCACACAGATGCAGAATAAGCAGCCTGCCTGATACACAGGTTGGAGAAGAATCAGGAGAAGCAGCTGCAAAGCAAACTGACAAACTGCTGCTCACAAGGCCCCACAGAGGCAAATGACACGGGGAACTCTTAGATGGGATCCCTGCTCACACAGTATGCCCCAACCTACGGTACTGTATGTAGAAAATACTGAGGAGTCATAAGTCATGAACTGCACTCATTTCATAGCATCACATAATACTTCATTAATCTCCTTCTCCCATCCAAGTCATCATCATCTCCTGGTCCAGAGATATTCCAAACTCTTTTAGATGCCCTTAGGTTGCTCATTGGGGGTCACAGATTCCCTGAAGACATCCACCGAGATCACAGCCCTCTGCTACCCACTCTCCTAGGAAATGTCCCAAGATTCCTCTTGATGCTCTTCCTAATTACAGCGGGGTAGTAACATGACTTTTTAACCCAGGACTCTTTTTCAGGATGTCTTTTGATGATTCAGCTTTAATTGTTGGACCCTATCTGAAAAGATCATTCAATATGACTTTTCACTGAGGATTATTTTTTTAAAGCATAATCATTTATATGGAGTGAAATCACAGAATAGTTAATGTCAAAAAATTAAAATGGAGAAATCCAAATTATAAAGCTTTGACGCCAAATGCAGACCTGGGAATAGGTCTACTAACCCAGATGCAGACAAGAAAGGAATATCAACAAAGGAGGAGACAGTGTGGAGGGTGAGGTACCAAATCTGAGAAAAGTTACAGGTGGTGACCCAGAAGGGATTCCAGTGTCTGTGAGGTGATGTGGGGAAGGCACACAGATTCAGTATGAGCCTCAGGCTTTGGGAGTCAGGTGGGGAAATATGATGAAATGGAACGAGAAACAGAGGAAGAAATGTTGGTTGGAGAAACTTGGAGTTCAATTCAGCTATGTTGAGAGTTAACTAGGATAATCCATGCACATAGACAGACAGACAGACAGACAGACAGACAGACAGACAGACACACACACACACACACACACACACACACAGAGAGAGACACACACACACACACGACCAAGTCAACTTTGCTAGTGCACGGCTCAAAAATCAAAATCTCCTTTGAAACTTTACATTTTGAATAGCAGTTACCAAACTCATCTGTCAAAGAACACACAATATCCCAGAGTCCACAGTGGGGAAAAGGAGGCATTTCAAAGATCTAATCTGAAACATTACATGTTTCCATTGCTACCTCTTGCACACTAGAAAATGCCATTGTGCAAAATGTGTTTTTCAGATCCATGTCTAGCATTACTGATGCTTTTTTGAAAAGTGTTTACAGCGTGGAAAAAAAGTTTTTTCTACCTAAGAAGGAAGAAATGGTTCTGAAGGTTATTAAGGAAATAGTTTTCTTCTTCATGACTGTGCTTGGCACTCTGGGAAACATTTCTGTTTCTGTGAATTATATGTTCAGTTGGTGGAGAGGCCCTGAGAAGAAACCCATACACCTTATTCTCATCCACTTGGCTTTTGCAAACATCATAATCCTTCTTGCTAAAGGATTGCCAAAGACAATAGCAGCTTTTGGTTTGAGAAACTTCCTAGATGACATAGGCTGTAAGATCATTGTTTACCTGGAGAGGGTGGCCCGTGGCCTCTCCATCTGCACCAGCAGTCTCCTCACTGTGGTCCAGGCCATCATCATCAGTCCCAG